CTGACTCAGCTGGCGTCCAGGGGTCCTGGGCCGAGGCTCCGTATAGCGTGGAGCACAGGATGGGGCCGTGTTTCACTCTCTTGGAGGCGGAGTTGCTGTAAGTCAACACCCCCACCAATGACACTGTCCCCCAAGGCTGCGCTAACGCCGCTGTTCCACAGAGGCTCCACCGCTGATCCCACGAACACACAGGGCCACACGGTGTGGTCATACTGAATCACAAGGGTTATTCTAGGGGGAGTCTGTCTTCCCAACTCTGATAAGCTGCCAGGTGTCTCTGGCTGGTCTCTGCTTCATTCTCAGGAAGCCCAAGACCTGGCCTGGTTGCTTCACATGGGACCCCAGGGTGAATCTGATTTCACTCTGCAACTTTGGGAGAATCTGCCTTTTGTGCTTCTACCCAGCTCTGTCACTCTAGGGACCTTCGGGTGTGACTTGGATTCTAGCTATCTCATCCAGGTGATTTCTCCTTTCTGGAAGAGAGGACCCCATCCAGACCACCACGCTGTGAGTCCTCAGGCAAGCCGCCATTGCTAGCGATGGGTCACTCTTGAAGGCCCTCTAGCGTTGCCTCCAAGGAGCCCTAACGGTGTGGTGCGTTACTTCAAGGTCAGCAATTTGACCCCACCAGCTGCTCCTTGGGAGAAAGATGAAGCGTTCTACTCCCGTACAGATTCCCAGCCTCAGAAGGCCAAAGGTGCAATTCTACCCTGCACTCTGGGGTATCGACTATAGATATCGATCGGTCAGAATCAACTCAATGGCAGTGAGTTGAGTTTGGGTCCAGAGCTTTGACTCCAGGGTACAGCTCCGGTGGGTGAATGGGGACTGCCCCCCTCTACCCCACTCCCCACCCTAAGGCTTCTGGGGCTCATGCTTCCTCCCTCCTCCCTAAGCCATGTCCCAAGCACAAGCCTGAAGCTTCAGCTTTAAGGAAGCTTGGCTCCTGCTGCAAGGGGACAAGAGCACTGGAGCCTGGGGACATGTGTGCAGGCTTCTGGGCCAGGGAGCTCAGCCAGCCAGTCCCCAGCCAGAGAAGAGGCAGGAAGCTGGAAAGGCTCTGTCAAGGGCCAGGGTCTGGGCTGCTGCTCAGATGGGCAGCAGCCTGGCAGTGACCTCCCCTGCCCTGTGGGTGGAAGCAGGGAGAAGGGTGAGGAGACACATGGGGGTGTGAGGGAGAAAGGAAGGCCAGAACAGAGGCCCAAAGAGGAGGCAGAAAGGAGCAAAGAAACAAAAGAGACAGAAAAGAACAAGAGAAAAGAAAGAATGAAGAGAAGGGGAGGCTGCGGTTGCCAGGCTCCAAGAACCACAGCGTGGACTCCTCTTAGAACCCTGGCCCAACCAGCCCAGAACCCCTGCTGCCTCAGCTCAGCACCTAGGCCCGGCCACGGCCAGGCTGCTCACCTAAACCTGGGTCCCAGCCACAGCCTGACAGGGAAGTAAGGCTAAATACGCACCCAGGACCTCCCCAGGGCTGCGGGCGATGGGAACCATTGGAGGCCAGACCCAGAGTGCACGCTGTCTCATCTCCTTGATCTCCATCTCTCTCTCCTCGCGCCGCCCCCCCCCAGTGTCCCCCCATTCCCCCCTGCATCTCTTCTGAGTGGCTCCTTCCCCTCATCTCTGGTGCCTGATCCCCCGAGCAGCAGCGTCTCAATCATGCCTGCAGGCGGGATCTGTGATGACTCAGAATGTCTGGGTGCAAGTTTACTTTCTCTGCGAGAATACTCTCCACTAGTTGATCAGGGCTCTGTGGTTGTACGAACCAGACATCAGGGGAAGGCTGACAATCATGGGGTGGGGGTGGGGGTGGGGCACAAACTGCTCTCCAGCCATTTGAGGCACTTACATTCTGGTTTGAGCCCCTGGGGCAGCGACAGCCCTACCAGGCTGAGAGCAGCAGGTTCTGGCTTTACTTATTCCATTCCTTGGCTGGGAGGCTCTGAGCAAGCCACTGTCTTGCCTCCACTACTTTCATGATATGGGATAATGTACTCTCCCCAAAGGTGCCTTGGAAGAAAGGCCTGGTGATCTACTTCCAGAAAATCAGCCACTGAAAATGCTGTGAAGCACAGTTCCATCTCTGGCACTGCTGGGGTTGCCATTGGAAGTCCACCAGATGGCCAGTGGTCTACTGGCCTCTGGCTCAGGCACCTCCAAGCCATCAGGAGAGCAGGACTTTGGCCTTGGCCCCCAAAATGTTCTGATCATCCCCCACCTCCCAGCCCAGAGTCTGCACCCTGGCTACTAAGAGATGCTTGTAGAGCACTTCACAGGAACACTAGTAACATAGCGGTTACGCGTTGAGCTGCGATGTGCAAGGTCCACAGCTCGAAACCACCAGCCACTCCACGGGACAGGGCTTTCTACTCCTGTAAAGAGTTACCATCTCAGAAACTCACAGAGGCAGCTCCACCTTATCTCAAAGGGTCACTATGAGTCGGCATCGACACTACAGGGTCAGGACTGCCCCTCACCCTGCACTTCACCTCTGCTTCCAGCCATTGGTCCCTCGGGGTCTCCAAAGAACAGCAGTAGGTCGCTTGTTGGGAGGCAGTAACATAGGCCAGGTGAAAAGTCCTAGGCCTAACCTAGGACCCTGGGAATGAAGGGGAAGCCACACCAGGCCCATGGGAAGAAGCAGGTGAGGGGGAGGAGCTGGGGGAACCTCAGGTGGCCTGCTCCAAGCTCCTCCCAGGATACTGGTTGGAGGGGCAGAGAACAGAGCTCCCACCTGCCAGAAGTCAGGGCCTCTGGTGGCTGGTTTGGGCCTGGGGACTGCCCTGGATTCCTCCCCAGGGGGCCAAAGCCACAGGGGGATTGGCAGTACACACTCATGGCTAATAGCCATTTGCTTGTCCACCAAGCCAGGCCACTTGGGAAGAAGTGTTAGGTAGGAGGGTCCTCAGCCAAGCCCACCGCTCCCTACAGCCCAGCGAGGGGGTCTCAGAGCACCCTGCCCTCCACCAGTAGGAGACCACTCTTGCCCTGGGAACTCAGTCGGTGCCACAAACAGCACCTCTAGCTCTGACACGCAGTTCTTGGGACTGGGGGACCGGGGGGAGGCAGCACCCCACAAACCTCAGAGAAGGTCTGTGTGGACTCACTAGTGCCTTGTTCTGGGTTAGGGTAGTGAGTCTCAGGCTCCTGGAGGTGGAAACCTTGCCAAGGCGGGGCGGGCATGTAGGGTAGGCTCTCAGGGAAGGCCTGTTCCGCAGCTCGACAGCTGTGTGACCTTGGGCAAGTGGTTCTGCCTCTCTGAGCTTCGGGAGATGGCATCTACTCCACTTGGTTAACTCCAGAATAAATGAGCTCAGGGGCACCACCGCCTTTGAGAGCCAGAGAAGAGCGCAAGGCAGCGGCAGCCACCTGTAGCTCTGCTCTTAGCCTGGTCCTCCCCACTGGGGGTGGAGGGTGGGCCCTGGAGGCTCCTGAATTCCGTTTTGTAAGCTGCAGCTGACAAGCTGACATTTCATTCTACAACCCCAGCTATCGTTTCCTAGGAAACAGGAGAGGCATTGACTGTGACACACACACACACACACACACACACACACACACTGGCTGCCACTGAGACTGACAATTAATAGAAATACAGTAAATGTCAGCAGAAACTAAAAAGTTTGCACCCCAAATGTCATGCAGCTGCCCCCCGAGACTGGGCTCTGAGGGACAGAGGACAGACAGCGCCCTCTCTAGCTCAGTGCCTTGTCCCAGGACTGGCCCACAAGGGCATCTTCTGAGTGTGCGGGCTGAGGGCCCCTCCCTGACCCCACCTCTGCGTGCCTCTTCCTGCATCCAAAGGCCAGACCCAGGAGCCCACAGAGCATGCCTTCTCACTACGGATGCCGCTTTCAGGGTCCCTTTCTGCAACCTGCGGGTCAGGCGCCAAAGTTACTAGAAATGCTCACCAACGTGAATTTCCGACACTCTTATTAGTCTGGAGGCCCCCCTGGAACCCACCCCTTCTCCTGCCACCCTCAGCTACAGCACTCCCCACCCAGGTGCTCAAGCCAGAGACCTGGAAGCTGCCCTTCCATTCACTTCCCGGCGCAGGCCGCCACCCAGTACCCACACCAGCCTCACCCATGCTGCCCACCTGCCACCAGCCTGCACCCTTATTCCTTCTGCACCGTGCCTGCCCTGCGCATGCCCACATGTGCTTCCATCCAACTACAGTCAAACCCAGGACCAATGCTCCGCCCTCCAGAAGCCCTCCCTGACTTCCCCAGGGCCAAGTCCCTGGCTTCTCTGTGGCCCCGACATGGCCAACCTAATGCCTTACCGCCATTGCCCTCGTGAGAGCACTAGACTCGCCATTACAGCCAACACTGCCTTCGTGCCTCTCCGGTGCCAAGCACTGTCCCAAGAGCTTTATGTGACCATGTGCCTAGAGTACTATTCCCTAAGTGTCTGATGCCCGGCTCCTCTGCTTCCCTGCGAGCTGGGGCAGGACAATCACCACCCTCCACCAGGCTCTGGGTCCCCTGGCCCCAGGACAGAGGTGGGAGGTGTCCCCGTGGGCTCTCCTGGGCTGTGTCAGTATCCACTGCTCCAACCCCAGGCCCCGGGAGTGTGATTTTTGTGGAGCAGATTAAATGGAAATTGGCTGGAGCCAGCACCCAATTCCCAGTGGGAATGCTTTCTTGGTGTGCTTTCTTGACTCCCCTCCAGCACACCTGATGGTTTAAAACTGGCTTCTTTTTTTTTTTTTGCGATTTGTTGGTGACTGGGGCTTTGTGTGTTGTGCTTTGTCGCCGTGCACCTTAAGCATAGGTTCTGTTACATCGCACAAAGCCTGTGTTAATCAAGAGCTGGCAACTGCTAAGCAGAGCGGTATCCTGACAATCACACATGATGAGTCTGAGCCCGGCTGACGAGGCCTCGGGCGATGTGCAAAGCAGCCGGATTGCTGGCAGGAGACGGTGCCGGCTGTGCGGACACCCTGCTGATGGAATCTCTCTCTCTCTGGTACAGCATTATTTCACGGTGAACTTCAGCCATGAGAACCAGAAAGCATTGGAGCTACGGACAGAGGATGCTAAAGACTGTGACGAGTGGGTGGTGGCCATCGCTCATGCCAGGTAAGACCAACCACTCCACCACGAGGGGAAGATGCCACCAGCCAGGCAGAAGAGACCAAGCCCAAGGGGCCCCGTTCTTGAGCAAAGCCAAGCCCCCGGATGGCCAGGGCTGGAAAGAGGAGGAGAGAGGATCAGCGGCACAGCGCTATACAGAGGAGCTCTTGACAGCATCCACCTCTATCTACATCCCTTAAGCCCTTAAGCTCTGGGGCTGGCCCCGCCCCCCAGGTTGCCACCATGCGTGAGAGGCCTTCAGAAGTAGTGCTGTGGCCTCCCAAACCTGTCTCTACTGGTGTCCAGTGATGCTAGGGGAAGTGAGTAGGGTTTGTTTTGACTAAAGGGTTTTATGGCCACCAAAGTCTAAGGCAGGGGCTGGAAATGTCATCCCTCCCAGCAAAGAGAGGCAATTCCAGCCATCACATTAGGGGCGAGTTAATGAAAGGTTTGAATGTTATGAAACTGGAATTTCATAACGAAGTTATAACTGGAGTTTCATAACGTTATGAAAACTGGAGTTTTCAGAGCTTTGATGTTCAAAGAGTCTAGATCTGTTCTTCCCACATCCCAGCAGTCCATGCTTCTCTTTAGAGGAGACCAGACGGGGAGAAAGGCAACAGGCATGTACCTACTAGAGATTGTGGGGCACCAAGCCAGACAGAGACCTTTAGGGATCCTGGGGAAATTAGACTTGTGGGCTAGGGCTCAGCAGCAGAGCTAAGTGTTGTCAGGGGACACAAGGGCTGAGACTCACTGCTGAGCCTTGAAACCTTGCTCAGTAATGCTGTGTTTCTGTGTCTGCCGCCCTGCAAGAGTGTGAGCTTCTGTAGGAGGGGCCAGGTGTGATTCTTTGTACCTCCAGAGTCTGATAAAGACCTGGGAAAAGTGCTCCGCAAGTGTGAGTTGAAAGAATGTCCTGAGGAGTAAGTGGATGAACGATGGATGTTGGTGTCTAGGCAGATGATGAGTGGATGGGTGTGTGGAGAGCGGATGACGGTTCCAAGTAGGTGTGGATAACGGACGAATGGATGGATAGGTGGATGGATGGATGGATGGATGGATGGATGGATGGATGGATGGATGGATGGATGGATGGATGGATGGATGGATGGGA